GAATGCCTCACAAAAGTTTGTGCACGACCCATTTCGAAGTATTTCCCCAAATGCTTGCTTTAGCATTTCATAGGTTTCCGTAGCGGTTTTGGCGAGTCTTTGGCAAAATTTGATGCCCACGCCATTCCGAAATCGCAGGAGGGTCGGTGTAATGCACTACCAAAACGCCCGTAACTAAGAAACAAATGCTAATTCGATGATGCCGGCTGGCACACTGATTCACTATGAATGTAGGCCGCACCCCCTAGCGGCAGAAGCTCGTACTACATCCGGTTCGCCCTCTATTGACACAGTCTTGAAACTTTCCGATCGCACCTCGTAACTCCGCACCTCCACGACCCCTATACTACGTCATATGTACAAATACCCTGATCGATTCCAATCTATAATTTCTTCAGCAAAAGTCATAATAGAAAATTAAACCATTGGAGCCGAAGCTCATCTAAAGAGATTAATATTTAATAATTCAATCCCCGACAGCAATGCGTCTCCAGTTGAAAGATCAATTTGTTAACGCTGTTTAGAGAAATGATCGCTGTTTACTCTAAGAAACCTGTATATACACCTTGTGGGCGAACTGCAAAATTATACAAATTTTAAGCAGGCAATTCTTAAGTCACCGTAATATTATATAAATGAGAACGATTTATTGACACTTAATGGTAATCTTCTTAAAAATTACAAACAGGTTCACATTTTACGTAAAAGTTTTTCTTAACAAAAAAATCAGTCGTTAATAAGATACTTTACATTGAATGAGGCTTAATTTCTGATGATGGCAGTATTTCTAGGTTGTAGCACCGTGTTGTCTGGTAGAAGTTTACTAACTTTTCACAAGTCCTTGCTCCCTGCATCGTCAGGGCATTGACTGATCTCAAACGTTGGTAAACTTCTACTACGACGATGCAACCCGTAAGACAGTCGTCCTTCCTAATGTTGATGAATGAGGAATGTTCTGGTTCTTAATTAAACGTTCTTGAAAGAGCTGAAAAGTTGCTCACAGCGACAGGAACTGTCAAAGACTGACGATATTAACAAATGGAGTTTTCTGGCCTTTTAATAAAAACAGCTGTTTTCATTCGTTCCAGGGAACTGGAAAGGCAGTTCATATTTTCCAAGTTGTTATTCAAGTCAGATAAGAAATTGAACTGGTTTCTTCTTCACTTGAAACACAGTTCATATTAGTCAAGTCATTTGAAGTTTTTGTTCTCACTAGACTAGTGTGGACGAGGCTTTAGACGTCCGAGCATGTACGAGGTGCGATCGGAAGGTTTCCAGACTGCGCGTATAAAAACCCGTACACTTATCTCAGGTATTAAATTCATCCATCACCCTCGAAGTAGTTCCCCTGGGAGTGAACACAACGATCCCAGCGCCGCT